TGGATGGTTTCAAGACACCAAACGAGTGCTGGTCAAAAATGGGCCACGCCAGAAACAGCATGTTAAACCAACACGCTAAGCGCTTCCCATTGATTAGTCGAACCAGATTGGCTCTCACGATCAAAGAAGCAAGCAACGAATTGGTTCTACAGTAATTGCAGGAGTAGGCAAGGCACTGCCGATTTTAATGGATGTGAAAAAAGGAACGACTTCCAAACGTTCCCAGTCAGGACTCCAACACTCCGAACTTGCTCTTTTGCAGAGGTGGGCCCGCTCAGTCAAAAAGGCATGTCTGACATCATCCATTGAAGATTCTGTTACTATATGATGGCATTATAAGATGTGCAAATCGCTACGTTTCTTCACATCTACTATCCATGCCCACACTAAGCTATCAATCCACAAGGAAGGTTGGGAAAACAAGCACTTTCCTAGGGTCCATGGTCGTCCATGGTGCTGCGTCAGCCAGCGTCTTGTGGCGGGACGGAAGCTTTTCATCTTCCTTTCGACCTAAACAAACCATGATGGAGGACAAAACCACCTTCCAGCCGCCCTGCCAGGCCCTGCCTTCCCCCTTCGACCTCATGAGAAAAAACCCAAAGCATGGGCCGACCTGCCCATTGTGGAGCTGAGGCACTTCAATTGCTCCACCTCGGCCTTCAAAGTTTCATTCGCCAAGGCCAACTCTGCAGCCTCTCGCTCCTGGTGGCGTCTCGCTTCGCCCGTCGTGCGGGTGGGTCGGACGTGGGGTCGGTCGGAAGGGCTGTCGAGTTGGTGAGAACGAACGGGTCTCCTGTAGACCATGGGAACAAGAAGCTACAAGGGGCTCCTGGCATCGCTACTAGGAGCAGGGACGCTACTAGGGGCTCCTGGCCTTACTACTAGGAACAAGAAACTACTAGGAGCTTTTTTGATATCCACTCTGAGCATCTTGTTTTCCCCGACGCGTGTCTCCGGTGCTGGACTTTGGAGAAGCCCCAAAAGAGATTGACATACTCCGCTGCAGAGGACCACATGGAAACTGCCTTTTATAGAGGCAAAGGATCGACATTTTATAGTGGCATGCTAGTGGGGGATCTAGGAACAAGAAGCTACTAGGGGCTCCTTCTTCTGTAGACCATGGGACTGGAAGATGTGCCTACATTGACTGCAGGTCAACCACCCAAGGGCCCGCTCCAGCAATACGTGAGGCCGAGGGTAGGTGACGAAAGCTAGCAGGGGTGCATCCGGACTGGTGGGACATCAAGCGGAGTGAGGCAAATGCTCATTAGGTAAAACGTTGTGAACATGTAAGACACACAAACAGCAATGACACAGCCAACCTTAGAATTGAAGTCCCCGATAATTAAGGAAGCGTGGCTGGACTTTGCCACACTGTTCGATGCATCCGATGTGTTCACGAACCTGTGAGCTTGTTGAATCTGTTGCACCGTATCCCAAAACCTCCACGGAGTTGAACCAGTGTGGATGCCATAAGAGGTGCCCAAGAGGTGTCCCAGAGGCAAAACAAAGCTGCTTGCATGATTTGTTTGGTTTCTTCTATCGATGTCGATGTCATGAACATGTGAGCTTGTTGAATCTGCTGTTGGATCGTCATGTATATGTAATGAGGGACTGAAGAAAAGCAACGCAGCATCATGAGCATCACGGGAAGTCACAAACCAGGCGTATCAGATACACCTGGTTTATGTATGTTTGTTTGAGCATCTTTGTCGAGTGAAGTGTCAGCCATATGCACTGAGATGCCGAAGGAAGCTCAAAGGCACGTGTATCTGATACGCCTGGTTTCTGACTTCCCGTGATGCTCATCATTGAAGCCTTGAACCCTCGCGTAAATTTCATGTTTCATGCCCCCCCTTCCAAACTCAAACAGTGGCCTACTTCACCTGCCACCTAAACATAGCACTATAGCACGTACCGGAAGCGTCCCAGGGGGGAGTTGAACCCGCGGGGGGGGGGGCCCCCCCCTACACGTGAAGTTTTCACGTGATTCATGATTCTCGAGGCTGCGAGCCCTTGACTTGCTAAAGCAAGAGCAACTCCAGCTAGCTGATGCTAGCTTTCGTGATCAGATCATGCATGTTCATCTCATTTCATCTCGGGTGGTGTTGCCTATCAACGAATAACGTGTAATAACATAGTATAGTAACATTAATAAGCTGATCTTACAATTTTGACAATGTGTGTATATATAGACTTAATGTGTATATATATAAGTATATATATGTATATTAGAATCACTTCAACGTTTGATCATGTTTGATCTGATTTTTCCCTGAGGCGCGAATGAGTAATTGCATAGAATGATTACACTTTTGAAGTAAACATGGTAAACATGGAAATGGGACAGCAAACTACAGTCTGGCAGAAAGAGACCAAATGCACGAAGGCATACCAAGGCCACAAGGACAACCAACTCTGCCAGGTATCATCGTGGTTCCAATCGAAAAGTGAGAACCCACTGAGCTAGTTACGCCAGACTCACTAAGCAACAAAAACACACAAAGCGACCCTCATCGTCTCCTTGGCTGCAGCTTTGGCCTCAAGCTCAGCCATTTGAATTTCGAGCTCAGAAACTTCAGGCTGCTTGCTCCTCCGCGGCGAGCTGCTAAACGCGCTGAAAAAAGGGGGGGGGCCAGTTCGGTCGAGCCGGTCGCGTGGTTCTGGTGTCGATGCGCCATGCAGCGGACGAGCAGGATCCCGCGGTCCCTTCCAAGGAAGGCACAGCAAAGCAGGGAGGGAACTCACATGATCTCACCGGTAGCTTACGGAAGAAAAATAACATCACGAGAGGGACGGTATGTCCAGCGGGGATGCCAAGACCTATGGAGAAGCCAGAAACACATAAATATACAGGAAACTTTAGAAACTCCGGCCAAAAGAATCCCAACCGTGTTTGGTAAACCCTGTCACATACAAAACACAGGGATTTCCAGCAATCTCAAGCAGTAGAAAGTGGACATCAAACTGGTTGTGGTTCAGATGTTCGATCCATGATGCTGCTCACGGGTGGATATTGCACAGCGCCAGAGCGGCGAGAGAAGGGGTCAACACGAAGGTCAGAGTCGCCTCCTTCCCATCTCTTTTTCCTATGATTCCATATGATTCCCTGATATTCCCTGCAACCCACCGTGCTATTGATGTTCGGTTGCACAGGCACTATCTATCACCCTGAAGAAAACCGCGACCACATGTTTGATCGCTCAAATTCTCGATGCATTCCACTCCATTATCCACATTCTAAAAGTCTGAGAGTCTAAAACACTCCCTTCAACTACAATGGCTCTCCACCCACTCTCGAAACATCAACATTCAGATTGATACCATCGAGTGCCAAAAGAATGCATGCTTTCCTTAGCAGGTTGCCATGATCCTTCTTCCATCAGTGAGTGTCAAAGGCAGGGCCCGGCCGAGTACGGGCCCTGCCTTTCAGATGAGCCTTTCAGGTCCCCGAGCCCTGTCCTTTCGCTTTCAGAAGCCGCGTCGTTGTCCCAAGAACGAACATCGGAGAGACGGGCGTCCGGTCGTCCCGCGCGCGGTGTTACGAACGGGGCGTCCGGTCGACGTGTCGTACACGGAAGGACCGTCCTTGTGTCAAAGAGTCCAGCACCTTGGGTGAGAAGATGAGGCTCAAGGAGTGATTGGCTCAAGGAGTGGAGGTCCTTCCTGGAGTCCATAGCATGGCAATCTCAAGGAGTGACTGGCTGGACACGAGATTGCCATGCTATGTCAATCTAACTGCGTCCATCTAATGAAGCATTTGCACGGGTCACCCCACAGCAGGACAGAATTCGCCCATGCTCCACATGCTCACTCACATACTCCACATGCCCGGATGCTGGCGGGAAAGGGTCGACCGCGTCGATGTTTTCACATGCCTAAGTGACTAAAGGACTCTGCGTTTTTCTTCTCTGAAGAACCTCTGTGTGTGTGTGCTGTTTGGTCTCTTCAGTGGAACCAACACCGACAGTCTGCTGCTAAGAGACCTGAAACTGTGCCATTGGGTACCCTGCCGTCTGTCGCAGGGCGCAAGCTGCCCATGGGGGGCGCGTGAATACCGTTCATCGGAGTCTGCATTTTCGCGCAACGACCGGGCGGAGAAACGCCCCACCAGACCGGTCCCGTCAGTGGAAATCACACCAGCTGTTTGAAAGCTGTGGAGGATGGCCAGCTCATGATGGCTATGGGCCTAAAATATTCTAAAATAGCAAAGAGGTGGACATTCTTTATGCTTTAACATGCTTTAACAATCACATGACTAGACCTGCTGAAATTAGGCTTGATAGACTTGGCCTGCATCTATCTCGCCGACTCCAACGACTGTCGAGGTTGAAAGGCTTTCAGGGCAAGTCGGAACGCGGACTTGACGTTGGCGATCTTCCGCTGTTGGGAGTCTTCATGCGGCTGGGCACCCCACAACATTCCTGATCACCCAGATTCTGGAAATCCAGATCCCCTTGGGCTGCTTTCCTTCATGCGGACCAAAACCCGCAGCGGCGTACTTCCAAGACCCCGATAGAACTGAAGGAGCTGAGAAACGCCAGGGAGTCATCACAATCCAGAATCATGGAAGAGATGAGAACAGGGTTTCGAAGTTACCCAACATCCCCAAGGCCCAAATAGTATCATATGTGTATATATATATATATGTATTGACTATAACGTGTAAATCATAAATACATATTATATATATAGAGACTTATCAAGTCCTGCCTGCCACACAATCCGGGTATGTGACGGTATGTGTCTCAAAATTGGGGAACTTCCAACTGTAAAATAGTGGAAACATGTGAAAACGCTCTTCCCTTCACCCAGGAGTCTGGCAAACCCAAGGGGGTTCTCATGGTGTCTCATGGTTTCTCTGTTCTTGACCCACACCCACTTACACAATCATTCCCGGGAGCACCTAATTAACCTTTGAGAGCTCGCCACACCACTTCAACACCTAATTTTAAACATTTCAACCTGACCGCGATTTCGCCGCTGCTTATCTCTTGATTTTGCGTCCGCCGCTGCCACTCCTCCTCCACCGGAGCCATTGCCGGCCTTAGCGAGAAACAGAGTGCACTTGTTGGGCCTAAACACAAATGCAACCTCTGAAGCAACTGAATGCGGAAGAACTCGATCACAAACAAGTCATGGGCAAGCCTCAACAGGCCTTTCTCTCGCGAGAACATTCAAAAATCACCGGCGCGCAAACTCATGTTTCATGCGATGGAACGTCACAACGCCGGTGTCAAACCGACGACGCCAAGCTTTAACGCGTCGTGACATCCGACTCTTGGTCCATTCGAAAGGGAACATCGAACGAAGATTAACTAATGCATGAAGGGACAAACTACAGTACCTTATACTGCAAATGGAAATCGTTTGACTCCTGTGACTCCTGGGATCTTAAGTGACCTCGCGATCTGCCCGAACGTCAGTCAGATCTTGGAGGTATTTCTTATCTCATGTTGTGAAAAGGTAACTATTATATAGTATTCTATATGACACTCTTCCATATACAAATCAATATAAATACATAAGAAAAACACTCATGTATTGTCTGCATATTGATCCACATCGAACCCTGCACCTTACCCGCAGCCTGCTCAAGAAAACCGATCGAACGCTGGGCCCTTTGGACTGGGCGGTCTGGTACCGCTGCAGCAGCTCTCGAATGTCCATGCCAGCCTCGGAGGTTCTGGGAACGATCGATCCTGCAACACCTGGCAACACTGTATATCATTTAAAATCATTAAGTATCAAGAACCGTACGTGGTTCCAGTCCATGTGGTTCTGCCAAACAACAGGGACCTCCTTTTCGTAGCACAAGTGAGTAACTACCTAACAAAATCGATTCGATCCCAGAGGCCAGCCACACAAGTCTTGTCGAATTCAAGACTACCTCACTAGCACTTTCGATTCATCAGGATTCCCGAGGATTCCGACCGTGCGGCGTCAAGTGACATCAAGTTACGCTCCCTTCCCGCCACCAGCGCACGCACCAGAGGGGTGATTGGAGCGCCGTTGTCGGAGCACCTTCAGCGGGTGTCCCGCCAAGGAGTCTCCACCTGAGATGTTCCGCGGAGGCGGAAGCGTAGAGATGTCGGGGGTATAGGTGACAGTCCATGGGCTCCGACATGGCTCCGAACTTCAGCACGGTAGTAAGGGGGGATATTGATGAATTCTGCTGTTTCTGAAGTCAAGACTTCAGATTTCTGCGGAACAGCAAAACAACCCGCTTTGAGATGATTCGGCATCCCATGGCATCCCTATATTTACAATAACCTAAATATTTGCAAGCGCTTAGATGTCCAAGCGTCTAAAGCAATCTCGAGTTGGGTGATTCCTCAAAGTTCTAGTAACCCCATTTTGAGAAACTGCAAAAAAAACAAGCCCAGGTCACTTTGCCTTCTCATTATATGTGTTTTTTAAAGCGTGTAGTAACTTACGCGTAGTTGTGTCATGTTACATGCTGTATCAAAACCCCGGCAAGAGCTCTGGGGCTGGAAATGGATTTACCCTGGAATTGACTGATGTCTCCTCAAATTCTAGAGAGATGTGTATAACACGAGTTCTTGAAAAAGGACTGGTTTCTCGACTCCGTGGTCTGAGCCGACTCCAGGACTGGTTTCTTCGGTCACCGGGTGCCGCTCACTCCAGGTGAGCACCAAGTGGTCTGTTTCGCCATGGCACACGTCAGGTCGCTGGCCGCGTCCGTGGGAATCAGGTCCTGGAGTCGCCGAAAAGGGGAACCGAACTCCGTCCGGGTCGAGTTGGGAGGAGTACTGGTAGCAACAAGTAAACACGCTCCAGATGGTTTAGTGGAAAATACCAACGATTTGTTCAATGACGAGTTGCTTGGTGTCTCCCGAAGACAAAGTTTTGCTGGAGGGTAGCCTCTTGGTCAACGTGTTTACTTCATTGGATTGTCCCACGTCTCATCGACTTGAGGAAAATGACACATCAAAACCTTCCCTCTGTGTAACAGAACCTCCACATGGGTGTGCATTTCAATGGGGAGATATAGTCACTATAGTCGACCATGTTTGGGCTACCTGGTGTTCCAAAGCTCGAGCCACAGTCCCAACCAGTATTAAACTTTATGGGGTCCTAGCGCAGCATTTCAGTCTTTTCAGAATCTTTATCCAAGAAAAAGTAACTTAACCAATCTTAACCATACTTAACCCTTTACCTGGACTTCACTCCTCCCCACATCTGAAATGACTCCTCCCAGCCTTTCATGACCTTTCCAACATCTCCCTCCGTCCTCAAAGCACAGCCGCGCATTGGCGGCTGTAGCCGGCCGGAAGCCCACGGGTGCGGAACCGCCCTCGCTCGTGTGGCCACGGCTCCTTCGGCACAAGCGACCCAGTTACCCCAAGTTGGGTGGTTTTCCTGGATCTCCGGATCCCCTTAGCATCGACATCTTGGGGGGGCCAGAGCCGAACCTCTCAAACTACTGCATGTTAAAAAAACAATCCAGAAGGTGTAGATGGAATGACTGCATGGGCTCGGGCTCGTGGGGATGACCTACCTGAAATCTTACAATGGCTTTGAATTACTCCATTGTTTCGGAGGCTCCAAATCCTGAGACAACATGAGACAACCCTATCACACTCTAAATGCCGAACGTACCAAATCTTCAGCCATACTAAGCCCACGGGTCGTACGTTCGCCTCCTCCGCTGAAAAAACCAAACACCGTGGAGACTCCTCCGCTCCGGCAGAAAGAGGCCACCATTGAAGCCGGGCAGAAAGGGCCGTGTGGTGAACGCATGTGCACCCGTCCTCCTGAGACGAGGAGGCTCAGCGTTAAATCTGGTCAATGACCCGGTGTTCATCTGGTGGATTAAGGATTATATATTAAAATACAACCAGGGATCACAAAGGGGTGGTGTTTGGTCCCTAAGTGAGTGGATAATGGGCACCCCTACCCATACAAGATCTAAAAAGTTCAAAAACAACGAAAAACGAAACCAGCCTGTTCAACATGTTTCAACCCTGAGTCTGTTTTTTTTTCAAACGTGTTGGGTGATGTTGGTCGTTGAGTGTCACCAACGATGCGCTCGGGAAAGTCTCCAATCTGCACCTTGTGATGACTGGGGTTTGATACTATCAGAACTTCATCTTTAACCTACGTAATCTTCAGGAGTTCATCTTGTAATCAAGAACCCTCAAAGATGTGAACATCACAAGGACAGTCAAACGTCCTCTCAAACATCTTCCACATCCGTTCGCCTCGACCGCTTCAGCTGCTCGAATACGAGCTGGGTCTCGTCTGGTTCGTGGGCGAAGCTTCCACCCTCGGATGCCTTGGTCGTGCTGACCCAGTTGACTCACAGAACGACCAAGTGCCATGGAATTCTTCTTGTTGACCAAACTTGTTTTGTTCCTTCCTGACGTGAAAGAAGTAAAAGCACGTCTGTGTCACGCGTCCATGTAAAACCAGCAACATCTGTGAGCTCGATTCCTCAAAGCGACAGACAGCTGTAACTTGAAAACAAGAGATGACATGTTTACAAACATACATACAGTAGCTCTGGGACACATGATCACGGAACTGGCTTTGCATAGGATTTCCATGTAAGCAGCATTAAGGGAATCTCACTATATTCTGCAGTCTTTGCTTGGTGTCCAACTATATAATCCACACATCCCCGTGGGAATTTAGATCCCCACTTGTCCTCCCCATTTTATAGC